TCAACATTTCTGCACCAACTGTTTGATGCTATCATACCGATATAGACTAAATTATCTTGGGAATGTTTCCAGCACCTTATTGAATCTGTGCCGTGAAGCATTAAGACAGTTCTTAAAGCAAAAGGGGGTCCAGCCATTGACTGAAGAGGCCCGTGGCTTTATATTGTAGAGCTAAGTAGAAAGAGGGGCCCACAGGCAAGCAGCTGGTGATGGTGGGGAGAAGGAAGATATCTCTGGCAGACCCAAGCTTGGGGAGGGAGAGGCATCTCATCAAAGTGGAAAGCTAATACAAGGGAAGACACCCCTGTAATTGTGCTTGCATTTTGTGCACTGGATCGCTTTAAATTCAAGTTCATCTATTTAAATTAGGAAGGCCGTTCATCATAATCAATTCCATAAAACCTTAGACAAAGTTTTTATTTAAAAGTACTGTTAAGATATACCTGTGTATGTAAATTTATCTCAGTATATTTAACACGTAATTTAGAACATGTAAATTACACGTAATAACACATTGCACATCTTCCAGGAAACTGTACTCTGCTACACATAATAATAACTGCATTTGAAATTATTAAATCACAACGCGTCACTATTTCATTTACGTGTGTAATTCCGCCGTCTTACAGTAGATGGCGCCGTTGAGCTCAGCTGCTACATCAATGTGCTACATTGAACCGTTACCGTAAAACCGTTAATAGATACCACCGATAGACGAAGAAGAATAACAAAAGGTACCCCTGGAATTTCAGGAGGTTGTCCTGCCAGAAAAAGTTAAAATAGGATGCATAAGCTTTCTGGTTAGAGCATATGTATCACCGCCCCTCACGTGCTATAAATGCCAAAGATATGGGCACATCACTGCAGTTTTCAAGGGGAAACAGAGGTGCCCCAAGTGTTGAGGTGAAAACAGATTTGGGGAATGTGGATGATGTACAGGATAAATCCAGTAATTGTGGGTGGCAGCACAGGGTAAGTTATGGGGGCTGTGAAGTCAGAAAGAAGGCCATGGAGGTCGAGCAAGTCAAAGCAGCTCACAACATAAGTTACGCAGAGGCTGTCAAGAGGGTACAGAAGGCAAAGGATGGAACAGGACCGGTTTAACCAATGTCGACAGCAGATTTAGTACAGACACATGGAACTCATACAGGACTGACAGTGGAGAAGATTATTTTGTTTATTGCCTATGTTATAAATTGCACAGATCAAGTGAAACACAAAACAGAGAAAATTAAAATAACTGAAAGGAGCAGAGAGGTTTTTTGGTATTAAAGAATATCTTGGGAACATATCCAATAAAAGACTTGAAGGGGAGGGGAAAGGAGGAGGACCAGGGGAGGAGACAATATGATTATCTTACAGGGGAACACCAGAAGTTTGATTGCAAATGGACAAGAGTTTAAAGGATTCATCAAAAAATGCAAAAAGAAACCAGAAATAATCTGTATTCAGGTTATGATAGTGTCCGCAGAGATAGAAAGGAGGGTAATGGAAGAGGATGTGCAACATTTGTGAAACAAGAGATCCAATATAGAGTTGTAGCTATAGGAACACAGTTATATTGTACTTGAAATCTGATCAAGAAATGGCAGCATCAGAGTGATCAATTTTTACAATCCGGCTAACAAACTGTTGTCAGTAGAGGAACTTGGCACATATTTAAAGGGAAACGTAATTTGGTGTGGGGACTTTAATGCACACAGATCATTATGGGGTAATTATAATGATCGGAATGGAGCAGTGATTGAGGAATTGATAGAGCTAAAAAAGTATGATGGAAGTGGTACAAGAGTTAATATTAGAACAGGTGCAGAATCAGCAATTATCTCACATAGTGTCAGACTCGTTGGCAGGTATTTGTTCATGGCAGTCTAAAAAAAGAGACAACTGTAGGCAGTGACCATTATCCTATGATGACTGAGATAGAGCTGAGTGTAGAGAACCAGGATATAGGTGTGTAGAAGTGGTGCTTCAGTAATGCTGATTGGGATACATTTAGAATCAGAATCAGAATCAGAAAGGGTTTTATTGCCAAATGTAGAGCAGGTTTACAACATTAGAAAATTGCTACGGTGCTTAGTGCAACACATCCTGTCAGACAACGCTTAAATAAACATAAAAATTAAAATTAAAAGTGCTAAGTAGATAGATATATACATGAATGCAGGTGGTGATCAGTGCGAAGATGGAATGATGCAGTGAACACAGAGTAGGGTCACGTGTTAGTGGTGCGAACAGTCATATGATTATTGACTAGTATTAGAATAGTTAGTGATCAGGAAATGCAAAAGATGGATATGAATGCTGGGGTGGATGATTTCAATTATTCTATTTGTAAGGCAGTTTAGACGCAGCAAACTGGGAAATAAAGAAGACAGAAGGTGTAAGGAAAAGAACGCCGTGCCGTGGTGGACAAAGGAGTGTGATAAAGTGATTAAGCATCAAAATAAAGCTTTTAAGATATTAAAGAGGAAACACAGTTTTCAGAATTTCATTGAATATAAAAGATTGCAAGCTGAGCTGAGAAGATCCATTCAAAATGCAAAGAGTGACTTCTGGAGGGGTTTTTGTAATTCAGTAGGGAGGGAGACAAAAATACAGAGTGGTTGGTCAATGATTAGAAGGATGAATGGTATAAAAAGGGAGTATGGATATCCAATATTGAGGGATGGAGAAGCAACAGCTGTAAAAGATGAGGAAAAGGCAAATCTGTTCGCAAAACGTTTGTTAAAATCCATCAGGCAATGTTAGTGAAGAAGGGCGAAGAGGAAGAGAAACATAGCGAATAGGGAATTACTGAAACAGGAAGAAGATACAGATGATTTATTAAATATTCCTTTTACAAAGACAGAATTGAATTGAGTGCTTCAGAAATCCAAATTATCAGCACCGTGAAAAAATCAGGTTTGCTATATCTTGATAAACTATCTCAGTGAGTCAGCTAAAGATCTTTTATTAGAATTATATAACAGAGTTTGGGAGGGTGGGAAACTGCTGCAAAGCTGGGAGGAGGCAGTGGATGTGCCCATACGTAAACCAGGAAAGGATGATACAAATCCAGAAAGTTACAGACCTATAGCTTTAACATCTAATATCTGTAAAATAATGGAGTGAATGGTAAATGAAAGACTAATGTACTATATAGAAAGTAAAGGATACATATCTAAACATCAAAGTGGTTTCAGAAGAGGGAGGAATACAGTGGATCGAGTATTGTGTTTGGAACATGAAGTCAGGAAAGCACAAATAAACAGAGTGTAGTGGTGCTGTTTTTGACATAGAAAAAGCCTACAATATGATGTGGAGAGAAGGCCTTCTAGTTAAAGTCAGGAAATTGGGTATCAGTGGGAAGTGTTCAGATGGATAAAGGATTTTTTTTTTAAGGGGAAGACAGATGCAAGTGAGAATTGGAAGGATTTACTCGGAGAGGTATCCTGTAGAAAACGTTACACCTCAAGGGAGCATTGTGAGCCCTTTGTTATTTTCTTTAATGATAAATGTTGTGTTTAATGCCATAGAGGTTGGGATAGGGTTTTCGCTTTTTGCAGATGAAGAGAGGAAATAATGTAGAGTTTATTGTATTATTTATTGTATTGTATTGTAAAAAAAAAAAATTGCAGGGAGCAACTGGAAAAGTTGAAGAGTGGTCATTTATGTGGGGTTTTAAATTTTCAGTTGATAAGACCAAGACCATGTTTTTTTTACAAGGAAAAGAATTGGTGAGGACGTCAAGCTTAGGTTATATGGTCAAGAAAGAGTGAGTAAATTTAAGTTTCTTGGATTGTAGTTGGATGAAAGGGTAACATAGGCTGTACACATTCAGAAAATGGTGGATGAATGTAAATATAATGAGGTGTGTGTGTGTGTGTGTGGGGGGGGGGGGGGGGGGGGGGATGGATTGGGGAGCGGATAGAAAGTCTTTGAGGGCCATATACACTGGATTGGTCAGATCGGTGTTAGATTATGGATGTGTAGCATATAATTCAGCAGCAGACACAACTCTTTTGAAGTTAGACTTCATTCAGTATCAGGCACTAAGACTCAGCACAGGTGCATTTAAAGCAACCCCAACAGCAACTTTACAGGTAGAGATGGGTGAGATGCCACTAGGAATCAGAAGAGAGCAGCTAACACTTAATTATTGGGCAAATCTGCAGGGCTGTGGACAGGATCACCCAACACAAGAGGTACTGAAACCTTGTTGGGAGAAAGAAAGGCAGGAAACAAAGAGCTTTGGGTGGATTGTGGGTAGAAGAGCAATAGAACTTAAACTGGATCAGTTCAACATCAGTCAAAGAGTGCCGTTACCAGCAACACCGCCATGGATACTTCCTGATTATTGGAAAAGAAGAAGGGGATAGGGCAGTTAATTTAAACTCCCATACAGCACAGTGTCGCCACTCAGAAAATAGAGCAGATATCCTAACAGAGGTTCAGCAAACACTTTACAGAATACACATGATGGGGCTTACAGTTGTGTTTTCATTACAAATTTCCCACGTGTGGGACTAATAAAGGTTACCTTTATCTTAACTTATCTTACTATGGAGTATAAGCAAATGAAATGGCAGATAGAGTTGCGAAGGAAGCCACAAAACATGGGGAATTTGACCTGGCTATTAGCTTCAGTCAGACAGAGATAAAGAGTATTGTAAGGCAAGAAATGAAGAAAAGATGGCAAAAACAGTGGGAGGAGGAAAGGAGGGGATGGTGGTTGTATAAAATTCAAAGGAGAGCAGGAGAAATGAGAACCACAGGAAGGAGTAGGAGAAAAATGAAACTAGATCTTATTGATTTACTGCAAAAGGACTCGAAGTAACAGTTATCGGGCCTTATTCCAGTTTTAAAAGAGAGTAAATTGCTTGGGAGGATTTGAATTTTTTGTTTATTTGTTTTTTGAGCGACGCCCCCGTCACACTCCACACCAGTTGGTGGCGGTAATGCACCATTCAGTTGTTTGCAAACCGCCAATAAAATTTAGAGGAAGAAGACGACGACGACGAAGAAGAAGAAGAACAAAAAAAAACAGCCTCAGAAATTTTTAGTTACACATCATCTGCTATCTTTGACTTTACTTTCGCTATAATTTAGAAAAATGTAACTTGAAGCAGAGGCAGATGTGCTGTCTGGAGACCTGTACGGAGCAGCAGCCAGTCAGAATAAGCGCTGTTACTGTTTTTATACACGATTCTGGTTTGTGAATGTGGCAGCTAAGCTAGCTCTGAGGCTGGATCGCCTCTTATCTAGCTCGTCAACGTTTGCGCTGAGATAATCAGCCGGTGTTTACCGTCCACATTAACACGTCACACGTCTCCCTCTCAGCCTTCTCCCTGTCATAATCAGCAGGTGAGTCAGCCGAGTCGTTGTTTGGGTGATAAACAAACTCGCATCAGACTCTGTTGTGGACACTCTTCGCAAACTTCATTCAAGGCTTCGTTATGTAAAATATTTTGTGCCTGTATTTTAAAATATAAAACAACAAGGCCACGTTTTGGGCTTATTTAAAATTAAGTCGAGATGTGATAGTGGCTTACTGTTAACCAAGGAGTGTGCCACTTGCTTTTTTCTGGATATCTAACTAGTTACATGAGGGCAATGTTGGTGAAAGCTACAAAGGCACGTGTAGCACAAGGATAAGGAAAAGTGGTGTGGTGCATCAGTCTGTTGCTATCATAATAAATAATGATGTTCAAGCATGTGTATTCATTTCACTTCACAGTCAAAATCAAGTTATACAAGTTATGCAGGAAAGCGTTTCTTCCTTATCTGCCACAAAACCTGTTTTAGTTTCTACTTTTATTTAAGCTCCTTATTGAGTTACACTCATCTTTTCAAACGGTGATATTATTATTTATAATTTTATTTGTTGGGAATCTTTATTTTATTCACGTTTTTCTATTTAATTGAGCTCCTAGTCTTCAGGAATAGTTCTCCAGGCTTCTTGAAGGACATTCAAAGCTCTTCTTTGGATGTTGGCTGCTTACTTCAGTGATGTTGATGTCTGGGCTCTGGGGGGGCTGATCCATGACTGTGTGATTTTCTACCCAGGTATGCTTTTACTGCATTGGCAGTGTGTTTCATTGTCATGCTGAAAAATGAAGCTGTTACCAGTCAGAAGCTTTTGAGATGGTATTGCACGGTGGATCAAAATCTGATGGTACTTTTCTGTGCTGGCATTTAATTTTCAGAAAAACAGAACTTAGAAAGACATTTGTAAAGCCTGGAGAACTATTGCTCAGGACCACTTTAACAATGCCGAGGTCGTCTGGCTCACTGAAAGCAAAGCATAAAGAAATGATGGCAGCTCAAGACTTTTGCACAGTACCATATCTGTGGATTTCTTTGACTGTTGAGCAAAACAGGCAGTTTGTCTGGATGCAACCTGTGGTGTCTTGAAATTTAATGTGCTTGCACGACAATTAAACATTTACTTAATGCAGTAGCTAAAGTACCACTCCAAAAGTATTGATTCTGATGAACTGTGAAACTACAGTATACATAACTGACTTGATATTTTTGATTGCTTTATGTCTCTTTGAAAACACAGAAATGGGAATTCTGGGCAGCAGGTTTCAGCTGTCCTCTCAGGGACCAGAAGAGGCCACAGAGGGCACAAGTACCAACCGCAAACATAACTGCGAGTGTAAGAAGAGGAAACGAAATGCTCAGTGTGACTGTGACAGTGATCAAGAGGAGGATGATGGCATACTCGATACACCTCGCAGGCAAGTCCAGCCAGTTCAGAATCAGATATCTTTAAGTTGTCTGTGTTTTGTCTTACTCTCGTTTTTTTCTGTTGTCTGGTTTTGTTTTTATGTTTTCCTCGAGCAGGAAGAAATTAAAAAGCACATCAAAGTACATTTATCAGACCTTGTTTCTGAATGGGGAAAACAGTGACATTCGTATCTGCGCTCTGGGACAGGAGTGGAACCTCCACAAAGTGTACCTCTGCCAGGTAAAACAAACACACACGCCGAGGCATCTTCAAAGCAGCCAGTGTTACATTCTCTTGTATGAGTTATCATATTCCTGCACTTTACAGTCGGGGTATTTCTCCAGCATGTTCAGCGGATCCTGGAAGGAGTCCAGCATGATGGAAATCAACCTGGAGATCCCAGATCAGAACATTGATACTGAAGGTGAGAGTCACAGAAAACGGATGCTAACTGGCCTCCTTTGTACTTGTACTCATTGGCTGATGGCTTTGTACATCCTTGTGTAGCTCTACAAGTTGTGTTTGGGTCCCTGTACCGTGATGATGTTCTGATCAAACCCAGCAGAGTCGTCAGTATTCTTGCCGCTGCTTGTATGCTACAGCTGGTAAGTACGTGTAAAAACAAGTCACTGAAAGGTGAGACAGATATCTGTATTTTGAATGATACCAAATCTTAATAAGTTTTATGGTCTGTGTTCACAGGATGATTTGATCCAGCAGTGTGGCGAAACCATGAAGGAAAACATCAGTGCAAAGACTGTGTGTGGCTACTATGCGTGTGCTAGCATCTATGGCCTGGATTCAGTCATTAAAAAGTGAGAATGTTGACATGATTGGGTTGTTTATGCCACATAAGAAAGTATGTACATGTTTGGAAATGCTTACATATATATCTGTGTATTTGTGTGTCTCTTTCTGCAGATGTCTCGAGTGGCTTCTAAACAACCTGATGACCCACCAAAATATCGACCTGATGAAAGAACTTGGGTGTGTTTGACTGTCAGAGTAGCTTCTCTGTTCATGAAATAACAGAGTTAGATTTTAGAGTTAGATTTGTTTATGGAAACTATATTCAGAGTATTTAATGAATACTTGTAAATTTACCTTCATACTATACAAATTGTCCCCGTTTCAGACTCTTTGATTACTTAAATATAAATTACTTAATCTAAGTACCAGGTTTTACATTCTTTTTTTTCTGGCATTTTTTAGCCCTCATTACCAAGAACAGGTGATATCCACATGAAAAACACATTTAAGCTTTGTTTGAAAACTGGAAACCCATCAATTTCACACCAGCTCTAAGGCCGCTTTTATGGTCACCGTGCACCTCGTCACAGGTGGCGCATGCCTGAAATGATGTTGCATCTGCTGGCGCTTGCCAGCCGGGCATCTCTTGATTTTTGTAATTGGACGTGTTTTTACTGCCATTTTAATTATATTTCGGGACAGAACTTTAAAGTCACAGACAAAAGAGATTATAAAGACGGAGATTTGCAACAATTTGAAAACATGAGACTATATGGGGGGGGGGACCCACTTGACAATGTCTTGGCTTCCGGTTTCGACTTCTTCTCTTCCTACATCAGCGCTGATGTGGCAGTATTGTCTGAGTGACGACACCTATCATTCAGGAGAACTGGCCTGCTCCAATGAATACCTGCACCTTAATGGCGAGCATAAAGAAAAGTGACTTTGATGTTGATGTTGCAGTGGTGTGTTAAGTGACCAGTATAGAGGGTATACTAGCAATTTAAATGTCGCAGTCTAAAGTCAAAAGCTAGTTTTGTCCAAGCTGATCTTAGTCTATTATCAACTTGAAGCGTCAGTATTTGCAATACATAAACTTGTCGCTATCTGTTTACAGGGTGGAGGTCATGGAGCAACTCATCCAGTCCTCTGACTTGTTTGTCATGCAGGTGGAGATGGATGTTTACACTGCTCTGAAAAAGGTAGAAAAAGCACAGTCGTAGACATTTTTCCTGTCACAGTCACTGCACTCTGATGCATATTTTAAGCGTTCCTGCCTCTTTCTGCAGTGGATGTTTCTGCAGCTCAATCCGCTGTGGGACGGCCCCATCAAGCAGCTTCTGGCTGATGCCGACGCCTGGCTTTGCAAGCGCAGGACAGGTACTGTAATGCACATTGGGTGAAATCACCAAGGTTATTATTGCTAAAATTAAATTACAAACCAAAAGAAACATTTTAGTTATTTAAGTATTTGCCCACTTGATGAGGCTTGTTTGTTGAGGCCACTGTCACAAAGTGTTTTCACAGTAATGCTAATTTTTAGCTTTTTATATCTTGCTCCTATAAATAAACCCTATATCATAATAAAAGGCTAAAATGAACAATTAAACGAATGGAAATTAAAGCTAGTTAGATTAGCTGTGTTAATCACAGTCTGTCTTTCTAATTAACCTTTATCAACAGACCTTTGTGAGAAGGAACCCTTCTTGAACACAGATGAGGGCGTTCCTTTTCGGTCAGTGTTCAACTTTGTGCGCCTGCAGTACATCATCAATGACCTCGCGTCTGCACGCATCTTGGAGAGGGACAACATTTTGCCTCTTGGTAATTTATGGCTCCGGCTGATGCCATTTCGTCATAAAAGTGCATCTTTTTTTTCGTGTGTGGTTATTTTAACATCTGTTTCTTGTGTTTATGTACTTTATGTTCCAGACTGGTTGACGTCCGTGTATAAAAACCAGTGGTTCGCCATGCTCCGGACAGAGTTTGAGAATGATAACGGGTAAGAACCTGAAACTTCAAACGAGTTAGTAGATTGAATTTGGACTGATTTAGTGGTGCTTTATGCTGCACATGGATCACATGCATTGCTTTTAATGCTGTTGTGATGACAAACACTTCTGTTTATTAGTCCTCAGGAGCCCAACAAAGACGAGTTTGAGCAGAGCAGCATGAGGTGTGGCAGGAAGCTCATTAAAGATGGAGATGTGAGTTTGTTTCCATACAATTATTGTTTATGGATTCATTTCTCCAAAGGGAAAACACTGTGATTTTCCCCTTTTCTCAGTACTGCTGGAGGTGGACGGGCTTTAACTTTGGTTTCGACCTGCTGGTGACCTACACAAATCGCTTCATCGTCTTCAAGAGGAATACTCTGAGTCAGCCATGTGGGGGCGCTGTCAGTCTACAAGCACGAAGACACTTGGCATACAGGTCAGTGGTGCAGGCAACCAGACTGTATAATCCCGCTTTAATTGTAGGATCTTTACCTTAAAAAATGCCTCAAGGTGACAGTTGTTGTGATTTGGTGCTATATAAATAAAATTTCATTGAATAGAAAAAAATTTAAATAGAGAAACTAAAATCATTATATTGAGATAAATGTGCAAACACATTCTTGAGCTAAGAAATATTTGCTCATGAAGCATTTGCTAAAGTTGATTTATATACAGAGTGAAGTTCAGCATTTAAAATGATTAGTTGCTATACTTCTCAGTTGGCTATAGTTATTTTATTAGGACACAGTGATGAAGTTGTGGGCCAGCACTGACTGTGAACATGTGACTGATCAACACTGATCACTGTAATTGGTAGGTGTTATCATATTTGGCAATAGGCTGGCATTTATCCTTTTGACTGTTTAATTTTATACAGTAATGTAAAAAGGAAAGTAAACCTAAAATCTGTTGAGAGCTGATGTAAAGAGAGACAAGAGATAATTCTTTATTGTCATTGTACAGTCATACCTGGTACAATAGTACAACGAAACTGTCCCACGTCGGCACCAAGCACAACACAATACAAACGAGACAACACAGTAACTTAACGTAATAAATAAAAAGAATGAGTGTATGTGTGTTTTTAAAGGGAGTGTCATGAGTTTGCGTTCTAGAATTTGTTAATAGTCTGGACTTCAGCATTTTTTAAAGTTTATAGACGGACAAAGAGATGATTTGTCCATGCCGGTAAACGGGGCATTGCAGTAATCACAATATGAATAAACACGATGACACAAGTGCATGAATGATCATTTCCAGCTTAGCTGAGGGGACTGTATGTCGCAATTTATCAAATTGTTCCTTAAATTAATGAAACGGGGACAAAGATTTTACTTGCAGGTCGAAGCCCAGAAAATAATCAAATATTACACCAACATTTCAAATGCTGGACTTAAAAGTTGAACAAAAATAAGGAAGAGCCCAGCTGATTTTAGGATATAGTTCAAAAGTAGCTTTAATCATGATCTCAGTCACAGGACGATCCGGAGCAGCAAATTTACAACGGAGCAGAATCGATGTGTCGCAATAGTCCAGACAAAGTCCAGACCTCAACCTGAAGAAATGAAAGCTGTGTAGAAATAAATGTCTGCACACCTCAATGAACTGAAGCAAAGTTACAACGACGAGTGGGTCAAAATTTCTCCACAACCATGTGAGACACTAATAAAGTCACACAGAAAAGGATTACTTGGTTATTGCTGCTAAAGTTGCTTCTACCAACTACTTTGCTTTTCACGTGACTTTGTCTGCATTTGTTGTGTTGTGTTAACCTACTTTAAACTTGGTAATGACTGGATCATTTTTATTATAGGGTGTATACTCTACTCTTTGACATGAATGTCTCATGTCTACTTCTATGCATGTTTTTGTTATATATAATTTAACATATTATACCTAAATTGTGTATGTATACAAATTTACAATAGAAACTGATGTATAGTTTATAGTGTTCAGCTGATAATGTATTGACCCTGTGACAGCTACAGGTTACCTTTGTTTCCATCAATGTTTAGGCTTAGCTGTGTGCTAGTGGTGCCCTCATGTTTAAATTAGAGGCATGTGAATGCTGTTAAACTTCATGTCACCTCTTTGCAACAAATTGAACTAACCTGGTGACAAGCTGTTGAAATGTTTGAAAGCTTTACCTATCTTCAAACATCTTTGTCTCCAGGTTACGTCTTGCCTCCTTTGACAGTCGTGGAAAGCTGGTCTGCAGTCGCTCAACAGGTTACCAGCTGCTCACTTTAGAGAAAGACCAGGTCAGTGAATACTCACTAGTCACCATTTCTAAAAGGAAATTGTAAACTTGGTAACATGCTTCAATTCCTTCAATCCTACAGGAGTATGTGGTGATGAATCTGGACAGCCGGTTGTTATCATTCCCCCTCTACGTGTGCTGTAACTTCCTGTATACATCACCTCAGTCAGATCACCGTCCAGACTCCTCAGACAAAGACAGGTCTGCTCACAGTGTGTCTTGATACCTGCTCACCAGCCATTAGCTGCTGCCATTCTTCTGTTACCGCAGAGACACTTGACACAAGCTTGTATGTACAATCTATGGCCTCATTTAACACATTTTGACACTGGACATACCGTCTGCATGCTCTCTAAACTCAGCGAGATGTTCTTGGGGAAAAAACGTTTTGTATATATGTCTACATGGGGTTTACAGTATAATGAAGCCCTATGCTAGTGGTCAAGAGGGATCGGACCACCTTTTGCTCTCAGAGAAGCTTCTCTCCACCTTGTACCTCTGCTGTTAACCATCTGCACTGGGATGCTGGACCATTCTTAAAGATGGGAAACCTCCAGGTGTTTGGTCATTAAGCAGACTTTGTAGGGCTTGACTTTACACTTTGTTTTTTCACTGTGTACAGGACATCGTCATCGGGAGCACAAACAAACACAGTGAAACTGAGTAGTTCCATCACATTTCAGAGCTTCTTACAATTTCCTAAGAGGAAACACACATCTGTTCTTAGAAGGAGAAATTGTGCGATGTCCACCAGCATCACAAGTTTAAGACTCAGTAATCCTCCCCAGTTAAAGCTGAGGTTGCAGTAAATACTTGTGCTATCTGGTGCTCTCAGCATAATCTTGTTTTTTTGGCTCACAAAATAAAAAAAATTCCAGATTTCCTTTCTACAGTATTTATCAGCTACACTCCCCACTGTGTGTTTGCTGGTATTAAGACAGTCACCTGCTCACTCTTCTTTTACAGTGCAGCTGCTTCTTGTTTGGCACTCTACCATCTATACTCTAAGTACCATTTAAGTTCTGTTTTTGAATACTTATCATATTAATTTGGGAAATATTTGTTTGGCGGTTTTCTTAATCTGTTGTTACCTCATGTCGTTTTGATATCTAATGGAGGTGAAAGCTTTTATTTGGCCATTATTTATTATTTTGTACTTCATTTTTATTCGTATCGATGTACTTTTGAAAACAATTTCTCCACTGCCAATAAAATTGCCCTCTGACACGGGCTGTGGTGCTATCACATAATCTCTGCATCTAGTGAAGGTCTTTATTGCAGCTGCAAGGTTATGTTTTAACTACAGATGATAGATAGTTAGGCATGTTATCAGTTTAATATGGCCAATTCATTAACGTAAGAAACTTGAAGCCTGATCAGTTGCTGTTTGTTTCACTCTTTAGTCAAAAGGTTCAAAGGTCAGTGTGCTGTTGGCATATCTTCAGAGTCTGTTCTGGTCTCTGCAGTAATAAATGAATTTAAGGCTCAGAAGTTTAATGGCTAATAAGAGCCTGGCTCACCAAAGAGATTTTTATCTAATCTGGCTTCTCTTTTATCTCTCTGTTGTCAGCGTGCCTAATCTAGTGCTGAACACAGTCATTGTAATGGGGAAAAAAATGAAATTCTCAGAGGCAGGCCACATAAGGAGAAATTACCCCCAACTTCTGCTAACTAATGGTCGGTTCTCAGCCCTGTAGAAATATGGGCGGGTTCTCATGAGGTACCGAGGTAGAGCCAGCACCACATCACTGAAAGAAAGAGTTTAGAGAACACTCGTTTCCCAGCTGTACATTTATATGACGTAAGGACCAAAAGTAAGAGTCTTGTAAGTTGTGAGGTCACAAACACACAGTTACTCGTCGTCTCCTACCTGCTGACTACTTCTTGGGTTTGACTCACTGTGCATTTTCCGGTCATTTGTACAAAAATGAGTTCATTTCCATTCTACCAGATAGGCTGCATAATTAGACGTGTGCAATTTAAACATTAGATTTCAAGTAGTAAAATTATCTGTGTGGTTTACATCAGGTCTGCAGTGTGTTTATTGCTCCTTTTATATCATTTACTCAGGCTGAAAAGCTGACAGTGTTGCCTTTGTTGTACCACCATGTGTGTGTATATAAGAGTATACTCCACTGCTGTCATTAAAACATATGCAAAAGTGTTATTTGCTATCACTTTTTTCAGTGTTGCTGGGGTAATGCATCCAAAGAAGGTTTGGGTTCTGTTTATTCAGATATATAAATTCACAATTAAATGTGAAACGAGAAAAAAAAATAAGGGATCATGATTTTAAGGAGTTTCATCGAGAATACAAAAAATCCTTCACGTGGATTACACAGGTTGGTTTTCTTTACATGTTGAAATGCAACACACAGATGTGCATTAAATACATTAACCGTGTTTAACAAATGCACACCTTAAGACTCCTTGTGCATTACTGGATTTCTTTCTCGCTGCAGGTAAAGTTGGATCTAACAGGCCAGAAACTTTCATTTCAAAGTTGAAATCTCTACACATCAGCATTAATAATCACAGTCTTTGAACTCTCCCTCTGCACCTCCAGCCCTTCACTCCTTAGATGAATAAACTCAATGCACCCGAGCTTTCCCCAGGATGGACTGCAGTCATTTATCCTGCCCCTCACTGCCGTATAGAGTCCAAGTTCTCTTTTAGTCGTCGGGTCATGCTGGGGATCAGGTTAACGTGGTCATCCACACAACTGCCCACGCAGCGGTCCATCAGCGATCGAACAGCTGGCTCCTTCGCGCCGGAGTCAAAGAGATCCTTTGCTTTATCGTTGCAGGTCATCGTACATCTAGTTAGACGGTCCTGAAGGTGGGCCAGGAAGGATTGGACTTTAGATTTTTCAAAATGTTACTCATTTATTTATTTTACAGATGTCTACTGCAAATCTAACCAGCTGTAGATGTACTTTTTAAATATTAGGTATATTCTTATCTAGTTCAATATTACTAGTGATGGGTCACATGATCCAAACATTACTACAACCAGAGTCATGAAGAACTTCAGCCACACTAAAAATGAAGAGTTGGCAACTGAGAGACTTAAAGGAGAGCAAAAAGTAATATTGGATTCAGGCGAGCCCTAAACCCACCGGACTTTAACAGCTTATCTGACTAGTGCTTTGAAAGGGTGTGCAAGTATAGCTTGAGAGACATGACATTATAAACTGCTGTACTTTATTTTAAAATCAGTTACATTTACTTGTAATGATGCTTAAGTCTAAGCAAAGGGGTCAATTAAGGGTTCCAAACTGGAGATCCAACATGGTTTGCTTTATTTCCTATTACCTAAAGACCAATATCAAAAAGACTCAAATGAAAAGACAAACGGCACCACAGTTTCAGTTAGGAATATCAAAATAGTAAGCCATCTTCTTTACCACCAATGTAAAGGTGTAGTTTTTTTTTTTGCCTAGACTCCAAAACCCACTAACCACAAGTCTATACATTATTTATGCTCAGTTAACAACCAAGTACCCTGTAACAGGCATTTGATTTGTAACACTTGGAGAATAAATAGGGAAACTGCAAAAATATAAAAAACATGCCCACTTATTTTTGCCTAGGATATCATTTACTACATCTATTCTTTAAGTTAAATATTCACTTATATTAATTTTATGTTTATACCATATGTCAGAATATAGGTTACATGTTGGATCACATGCTTCCATCTCTCCTTATCCCTTGCATCCTCCCTTTCACAACTCTCTGGATGTCCTCCCTCATTACATCCATGTCCCTCCCCGCCTGCCAGCTCCATCTTTAACATCCTTGGTCCAGTAAGCCCACTATCCCGCCTTTGCACATGTCCAAGCCATCTCAGCCTTGCCTTTCTAACTTTTTCAATCTTAGTTATCTGGCACAGACAAAGTGATGACAGGTGTTTGCACGGTGATTTACCTGAAACTTCTCCAGCTCTGAAGTGACCAGGCCCTGAGCTTTGGCCAGGGGAGTGTGACACGTCTCGATGCACTGATGCACCTGAGCCATGCTGTCTGTGGAGCGATCGCAGCACTCTGCGCTGCACCTGAACATGCGCCCCTGCAGCGAGAACAAACAACCTGTTACCACCCGGACTCGAACCTGCATACACCACCGAGAACCCGCAGATACCCTACCTGCATTTTACGGATGTGGTCCTTCTCCAGGCTTTGGACCATGTCTTCGATCACATTCTGCACGCGTGCCTGATGAGCCTCTGCCATTTCTGCTCACTCTGGAGACACCTTCAAGGTCCGCTTAGATATTCACGACAAGTTTATTAAACCCAGACCGGACTCACCTGCCCGCGGGGTCCCCAACTTTCTTTACTTTACAATTTGGTAATAAGTAAGGTCACCTCCATTTCAAGCATGGTTCAAGAGGAGAAGTAATTGCGTCACTTCCGATTTTCTTCCGTACTTGAAAAAATACGTTTTGTTACTTCAGAATTAGGGAACGGGGTTGAAAAGTGTCAACACGTTTAAATAAACAAAACAATTCTTTTTAACTAACTCGTCTTTATCTATATTTATTTTTGCCGTGATTAAGTAAATTACTACTTCCGCTGAGCTCCTTAAAAAGGACATTGAGCCCATTTCCTGTTCATATATCTTTCAAAATAAAACAAAATAAGTGTAGCGCAAGGACGCTAAAAAACAGAGAAAACTATATAGATAACAATTATGTTAGCTATTAGTCATTATTACAGACAAGATAAATCCTACAATAGGCAGCTTTAAAATGTTTCGAAATTTCTGCGCACACATTTCTCATTAATCGCTTTTACGAATTTCCTATGCTTTTATTGTGACATTCAAAGCAACCGTGCCCAGAAGTGTGTCTCAATAATTAGCGACGTTCAGGGTGGGCAGACGTGATTCAACTGTTAAACTAGCTTAGTTAGTTTTCTCGTGGGTTTTACAGGGGCCTCTGTGAATAGCTCAGTCTTGTATTTAAGCAGTCTGACAAAAGTTTAAGTGAGCTTTAAAACGAGGTTTTACACTTGCTTTGAAGCTTGACACCCTGAAGGCTATTTTTGGACCAACAGTAGTTCCCCACCATTGACTTCTGAAATTGTAAGTCCTCGAAAGCGCCCTATACCCCTTAGTAATTTGTCTTTTAGGTTTAAAACGTTAAGTCGGGTGAGTGTGTTAATGCTAGTTTCACTTGTGTAAAAAGCTGTGCCATTATTTCCTTCGCTGTTCTATTTTTGAGGCCCTGAATGCAACCTTTGACCAAGGCTGATAGGCACTTTAAGTATCTCACGTTTTCGCCCTCCTTTTGCAGATGCTTCTTAGTGCAGAGCTGTAGATACCCACAATGAGACTACAAACCCTGTCACTGAGAGCGCTGCTATTCCTGGGGCTTTGGCACACAGGAAGGAGAAGTCTAGCCTCAGCCCCAGAGCTGCAGGAACAGCCTAAGAAGATAGGTAAGGCAAAAATAAATAAAAATAAAACATGGACTCGTGCTGTCTGTCACTCTTCAGCTTCTTTAGAGGACAGAGAAGTACTTTCATTCTGTCAGCCCTCTTAAACTTATCTTTGTGGCAGGTTTGTTGGTTGTTTCATCATCAGTTAGTTCCACGACTAACTGAACAATAATTTTGCCCCTGTATACCAGCACAATGTTTCGTTTTTGGTTTTTTGGTTTTTTTTATCAAACAGTCAGGATATGATCTTTGATTTAAGGGGCTTAACAAACATATTTCATCTGCTGTTCACAAACAACAGCCAGCTTAATGCATAGTCCCCCACTTCCAATTTCTCTAAAGAAACTGGACAAACTAACTTGGGTTTTAAATAATGAGGATTGCTTTTAACAGGCTAAACCACCAAAGAAAACCAGTGCACTCTGTTTTCGAATAAAATTTTAAAAAGTAAATCTAATCTAAATCTAAAGTAAATTTAATTTCATGGCATGGTCATGTTTCACTCCCTGATGAGTGATGATGATATGTGCGAAAATCTGTTAATATTTTCAGGCTGAAAATGACCTTTTCATGAAAATAAAGGGTATTTGTGCTTTTGTTCAGAGTTGTTGAATGGAGAGTCGTGTCATTGGTGGATCAGAACGACTTGAGAGTTCCCAGAAGTTCATAGCAGGATGTGAATGTGTTAATAAAAAGCTATAATAAAACTGCCTTTTTCTCTGTAATTACTAATCAAAAAATGCATTGATCTACAATACACTGTATGCCACAGTGAGGTTATATTTATTTATAAGTCAAATATTCAAGG